CACATAGTAAAGGACCTCTTTCACACCTTCGGGCGTATAGGGCACTGGTCAGCAAACTCATTAGTCGAAAGAGCTAAAAACCAGCATCAGGACGATTACAATTTTTTTAGAGCAAAAGTTTTGTTTAGGAGCTTGTCAAGTACCACATTTTTCACACGGCTGGGCTCCAACTTTTTATATATTCTGGAGAAGGCGGTGATTTTTTCGGAACTGCCCTCAGGTCGCAAAAGATCCGCATGCGGCTCTCCTATACCACTGGTATAGGGCATATTATGCATTTTATAGACCAATTGGCACTTGGTGGTTGATGTGGTCATCTTTGAAGTTAACAATCTACCTAAAGTATTTCATGATCCGCGCCGGTGCCACGGAGTTCGTGCACTGCTCTGAGCTTCTTTAGTCTCAGGCTTAAGTTAGAAGTAGAACAGAATACTTACGGGTTACTACCCTTGTGCCAACAACAACAACAAAAAAAGTTAAAATATGTGGGTGACTGCAGTCAAGCTAATACAAGGAATTCCATTTAAATGTGATAAAATCCTTGTGCTATGATGTTGATCAGTTGAGAAAAGAAGAACGTATATGGTACTATTTAAGGCCGCTTCGACCTGGGATGCCTCTCTAATCTTATCTGAAACTGATTCCCTCCAGCAGACCAGGATATGCTCTATTTACTATAGCTCTTAAGAACAAATTTTCCGTAATTTACACCAGTAAACCAAGAATGGCTCAGTTTTAGTTCGTAACTCTTTCAGTTCTAAGAAACGCATCATACGTTCATTCATAAGCCCATTAAACGCAAGAGGCGTCGATTACATGTTTCTCCTAACCACCGCATGAGATTCTGATGCTAAAGCCTACTAGGGACGTAAGAACCAGTTGTCAGTGATTCACTCCAGTAGATCATTATTGGCAATATATATATATAAAGAGTCTAATAACTAGTAGCTACTGAATACAGAGATTCCACGAAGACAGTTTCGTATCAAAAACAAAATGGCCGCTTGTGTTTACAGCTGTGTGGACTTTCGTTATTAGACTAGCAGTCTGTTCAACAGCATACCTGAGGTATTACAGAGACTGAAACCACTCATATCTTCCTGTCGGTAATTTGTAATATCTTACAACAATTCCGTTAAGTAAAGATATTTAATATTAATGCCAGCTATTATAAGAGGGCATTTAGGAAAAGTGTGGGAGTTAGGAGTGTTACTGTTAGTGTTACCCCCCAGTGCACAATGATGGTATTCTGTTGAGTTAATGAATGCGAAGAATGCCATATTAAAGTTATGTTGTTTGGCAGACGACTGTTCACATCTACGTCGTTCATAGGTCACAGACAGCACCGACGTGTTTGGTATTTTACACATCCTTGGTTAATATACTTTTTTTGAAACCCTTGATACTTTCCCAACCAATGTCCAGTGGACTGGTTGGATGAGACTTCTGTCCGTGTTTCTTATACTTATAGTATAGCTGTGTGCTAAGAGTTCTTGAGTTCGGTTAGTACATTATTGATACATGAATCTGGTTACCGTTAATGTCAGATTCTTTTTAAAGGAGTGTCTAGTAACTACTTGGTATGTGCACTGCAGTACACTTGTTCCCAACTAGCTCTGACCATTTGAAGGTGACAGTCAGGTTCCAATCCTGGTATAGTCACAATAGTTTAAATTCTTTTTAAAAGTGTTGTCTAGTGTGTTCTCTAATCCCATTTTTTCATTTCTCTACTCCAGTGAGTGCCAGTCAGTACAGGTGGATGTATTTCTTATACAGTTTCGATGGCCACAAGTGCAGGGATGCCGCCACAAAGAAATCAATGGAAATGGGGTTCTGCCCCCTTATAATTTTCTAGGGGGTTCAAAAGGCTTAATCCTTTTTTTTTTGAGGCTGCAGTAATTGGTAATAATAAAATTATATTTACCAGTCTGTGCTGAAGGGCAAATAAATATAATAATATATTTGAAATAATATTAAATGTTTAAGTACATGCTTAAAAAGAGAACTTGTCGAGCGGGAAGCCTGATACGGTTGTGAGGTTAAGCAGGCATGTGCAGGACATGACGATTCCTTGGATGAGCCCAGAACCAGAGCGCCATGTGCCGGCTCTGCATACATGGAAGTCTCCTTGGATGGCGGGGAATGCCCATGATTTGCCCCCGCCTTCCCTTGAGGGCTAACTGCTCCACAGGGGGCTGCACCAAAGGGGTACTCCGGGGGCAATATCTGTGGAGAAGGAGACAAAGTGGACTCCACACAAATCAGGCAACGTCTTGACCCACACAAAACAATGGTCACAGTCAACCTAGAAATAGGCCTGACGTCTTCCTTCGAAGTCGGAGTACAGCTGCCCATGAGGCAGGGAACATTAAAACGCTTGTACACGCAAAAATCAGGTCCGGGTGAAAGCCAAAAGTCCAAGCGGACGATTAACCGTGACCTTCCGCCAGAATTCACAGCCGGTAAACGCAAAAAAAAAAAAAAAAAGAGAACACAGACATATATATATATATATATATTTATATATGTATATGGGGAACTTTAGCCTCTTGCTGGTTTTCTAGAAGAGGGGGAGGGGGGAGGGGGAGGTTTAGGTACATGAACCCTCTGGTTTCATCCCCTCAGCACAAAGGTTTCTCAGCAGTTATGACTAGGGCTGTACCGAATATTCGCTTCGTATTCGCTTCGGGGCCGAATAGTTGGTCCAGCTATTCGTATTCGGCCGAATAGTGAAAATCACTATTCGGTACAGCCCTAATTATGACCACAATAACTCTAATGATATTTGCTGCTTGAGCTACATAATTCATGCTTTATGCGATACTCTTTGCATGTGGCCTGAGTATAGTAAAGCAAAGGAGTTTACCACTCCTTCAGATGTATTGGCCATACAGGGCTAGACCTTTATTTTATAGACCCATCAGCACTTGTTGTTTAATGAGGTCAGTATCACTCTGGCTGCCTTTTCTTCCAAGTACTCTGCCCGGTACCCATTTAAGGCTGGGTCAACCTGCAGCCAAGGTAATTTAAAAAAAAGACAAAACTCAGGGTCTGAACCCTTTTGATTCACAAGCGAGAGTCTAGCCGTTACATCATGAAAGCTCCCTATGTAGCCAGAAGAGAGACAAAGTGGTGGAATGAAACCTGGTGCAGTGAAGTGAACTCTCTTACCTTTGAATGCAGTTTTGTTTTTAATGAAGACATTCATTCATTTATCATCATGTTGTGCCATTTATGCGAGACCTAGCTCTTTCAGTACTAACCAATCCACCATACATTATTTGGTCACTGCAAAAAAAAAAGATAATGTAGCGGGAAGAATAAAAACCCCCTAACATGCATGTCATAAAAGGTGACTGACTAGGTCAGCATTTCTTAACTTATGGGTCGTGACCCTTTTTTGGGGTCGAATGACCTTTTCACAGTGCTCCCCAAAGACCATCGCAAAACAGATATTCATTAAAGTTATAAAGTAGCGACAAAAATACTTGTATGTTTGGGGGTTACCACATCATGAGGAACTGTATTAAATGGTCGCGGCATTAGGAAGGTTGAGAATCACTGAACTAGGGGTTAGCTTAAAATGGCGTGTTAGGCTGAAAGGCACAGATATTGCAGTCTAGCTGTGTGTGTGTCATCCATCAAGATGATGATGACCACTCTTTTTCATCAAGTATGAGTACGAAGATGACTGATGAAGATGAAAGAGTGACTGACTTGGATTTAAGTGAGGAAGAGTTGTGCAGTGTCGTCGACCTCACTCTCTCGCCCGAGTCATATCTGGGTCCAGTGGCAAGACAGTCAGGATGACTGGAGATATGTCTAGGCGCAGTGGATGACCAGGGCGTTCTACGTGCCTCTATGTGCTCCACAGTGCTTTGCTAGTGTCACCGTCATGCCCGTTGAACCAAATATGGTTTCCTCCGTGCATTCTGCCGACGGTAGTCTTTGCATGCTTGGATAGGCAGATCCTAACTCACCGACGGAAAGCCTAGCTGTAAACACCACATGTCAGCCATCTTTTTAGGGGCCAATGCAGAAAAAGATAAAGAAGATTTGAATTTGCTGTGGTGTCATAGTAGTTAGTGGGTTTGCCTGTTAAGACAGTGGTCTGGTATCAACCCCTGTGTGGGTTCTGAGCCCATCTTGTTGCGAGGAGGGGTGGGGGGGGGGAATAGACCCATTACCCCTAACAAGCTTGAAAGAGGCGACTAATTCAGGATTTGTTCTCATCAGTTAGAGGGTATCTGCCTGAGAGGCGAGGAACCAGTAGTCTGCATACAAATAAGCAGATCTGTAAAATGGATGTGCATGAAGAATTCAAGTTCTGGAACAAGAAGTCCAGATGTGAACGAACAACAGAAATTTCCACTAGAGTTTACAGCCAGTGAATGCCTAGAAGAAGAACATTCCCCAGCAGTAGAACCAGTAATTTTTTTCTTCCCCAAAACACTAAACTGTGGCTATATTGTCACCATGGCAGTGGGGTCAAGCTGTTTGCCTTATGCTTTGAAGGTGATGAGTTCATGTTTACTGCTGCATCATTCAGTTCACAACTGCAGTCTTTGAGGCGGCTGCTGGGGATTGTCGCTGGGGCGCAGTGTTCATGCTTTTTTGTGATGCTGTCCATAAGTGGCTGGTCATTTTGTGGAAAGAGCAAAGCTTTATGGGGTATAACCCAGTGCAGTGAAGTCAATGCTCTCGACTTTGACTTTTGACTTGTATTGAAAACCATTGCTCGTACAAACTGAACCATGCAGTTTTAATTTTCTCTCTGAATGATCTGAAAAGGATATTTACATAACTTCAGTTTATAAGATAATCTAATTTGTAGAAAAGAAAAATGCACATAATCTACATAGATTCCTTTTCTATTCTCTTTTCAGTTTACCTTGTTTTGCATTATTTAGATTTTTTGTAAATAGTTTTACAAAATAAAATGCATGAATTAAAAACTTGAATAATTCTTTCTTCCATTGCAGAAGATATTAACTTGTAGCATGGATTTTGTTGACCTGGACAAAGTCTTGGATGAGTTTGAGGAAGAAGGTAGGCAGCTATATTACATCGTTTCCCTTCTTCTGCCTTTCATCTGCCAATATAATAAAGGCTATGAACTAGCTTATGTCAGGTCCTCTTATCTGTAGATTTGTTTATCTTCTTCTTCTTGACGTCAGCTGGCTGAAAACTGATGGAAAGTCCTATTTGTTCATCCACCTCAGGGCTCAGTTTTGGAGAAAAAAAGAGTAGAAGCAAGGAACCAGCAGTCTGTATACAGATAATCCAGTCTGTAAAACAGATGTGCATGCAGAACTCAAGTTCTGGATCAAGACTTAAGTCTAGGAGTTGACAAACAACCAGAACTTTCCACTGGAGTTTACATCTCTGAATTCTAAGAAGAAGAAGAATATACGTTGATGTAACTCTATAGTTGTATGCAGAATGGGAGAGAGACTGCCACCGTGGCAGGCAAGGGAGGTCAGAAACCAGGGAACCAGGCCTCCAACATAACCCAGGGTGTTCTGAGAAGACAACATCCGACGGTCCCTGACTGACAGAGGACTGGAATTGAACAAGGCCAGAAAGAGTTGGCGAAGAGGGTTGACTAAGTAAGTAACTTGTAGAATTTCTAATGGTGGTCATTTATGTGCAGGTGTGGAGTGTGAAAGGGCAGTGACTAGATACCTGCCTGCTCACCTGACAGTCTTCGGTTCAAATCTGCAGCAGGAGGATTTTAAAAAATTGACTTTGGTTGCTGGCAACCTACCGTAAAATGTGTTTTGGGAAATATAATGGGAAGTAAAGCGTGGTGTTAACAATGTCCCCCATCAAGTGCTGATGATATGCCTGATGTGCCACTGACATAGAAAAGATCGTTTACTTTTTTACTTTTCTGTTCATGTGACGGTGGTTTTAATTTGTTTCCCATGTGTTATTTCAGAGAAACAAGCTCTTTCCATCATCCCAGGCCAGGAGTTGAGACCAAGTGGATACCTAGAATTTTTAGAGAAACATCAAGAACAGGAATGGGCCTTGATAAATCCAAGTAGGCTCTCTTCCACAAGTGGCTATACGTTGGAACGTAGGTCAGCTAGAGAGCCAGCTAATGTCTCATATGATGACCCATATGACAGCTTACCTACGTACAAGTTTGGTTGCGTGACAGGTGAGCAGCTTAGTAGTGTCCCCTACAAACGGTATGCAAGTCTGCCTGAAGGAAAGCAAAGAAGAAATCAGAGTGCCATCGTTACAAGTTTAACCCGGATTTCTGTTCATGATGAAGATGTGAGCACTGTTTACACAACTCCGACAAAAGTTCAGGAACGAAAAGGGATAGCTAATTGTTCCGAGAGAAAAGGTACAATTGCATATCACCCGATTGAAGTACAGACTGATGCACTGTCTCCAGCTAGTGAAAAAGAGTTGATGTTGTCACCTTTCCCCAAATCTGACATACTTGTAGATGGACATGAGGATACATCCGTTTTGGATGAACAGGTGTGTTATAGTGAAATTGAGGAGAACCAAAGCCCTGCTCAGTCAAGCGCTCATAAACCAGATGAAGAAATAAAACAGTCAGCTAGAGTGAGTACTCATACAGAGGATGACAATCACAGATTACAGCCAGCAACCAGAGACGTAGACACAATCCTAAACTCAACATCATTATTTGACCCCAGGTCACCTGTTGTCAGTGCTGGTGAGACCAGTACTGGAGACCCACAGCCAGAGCAGATAGTTTGCTTTAATGATCTTGCTGATGAAGATTTCGATAATGAAGAAATTAACATGTATTTAAACCAGCTTCAAGGACAGAGAATTACAAATGTCAATGCATCAGAAATATCAGCTCCTACAAGATCTGTCGACTTGGAATCAGTGACCGCTGGGGAATCATATGGGGGATACTCTAATGAGAAACATTCTCATGATACTGGGGATAGTATTTCACATGAAGAGTTTAATACCAGAAATACTTCACAAGCGGAGCCTGGTAACAGAAGTGCTTCTGTATTTGAATCCAATTATAGAAATACTTCTCATATTCACACAAACAACAGTGGTAATATATATACTGAGCCGAGTAATGGAAGGCCCTCAGATGTTAATCCTGATGGACAGAATATTTCAGATATTGAACCTTCTACCCATCTTGATGGTGCTAGTCAATCACTTTATACTTCATTAATAATAGGAAAGTTGGAGATTGAAAGTATTCTGGATGATATAAATAAGACAGAACCTGTGAATAACAATATCAGAGACAGTTTGGCACTGGAAAGGTTGGAGAATGAGAATGTAAATGTGGAAACAACCTCATGTGTTAGTGAACAAGTATTCTGTGGTAGAATGGAAATTGAAAATATTCTGGACGAAGTGATTCTCAAACAGCAGGGCATGTTAGAACATGATATTTCCGGAGGACAGATATCTCAGAGATTGGACTCGAACTCTAGTCACCTGAAGTCTAATATTGACCATGGTTCCGATGATGTTGAAGACAAAGCTTGTGAGGCTGCATTGACAGCTAGTGATTCTGACTCTTCTAGTCCAGTTCGCTCATTTGGTCAGAACTATCAGATGGGCAGTTCAGTACAAATTATCGGGGCAGGTGCCAGACCAAAGGACTTATCTTCCTTGAAGAAAAACCGCCCCAATGCTTCTTCTGCATTGTCTAAGGGCAGTTCAGAAGTGCCAGCAGAAGTGAAACCTAAAGGGACAACAGAAAAGGAAGAAAACACATTTCGCAAACAGATAGTGGACCAGTATCCAGATAGTTCCGTGCAGTTTCACCAGTCTGCAGATGGTGAACATTTTAACACCTTACTTGTGGACCAAGAGAATCTTGAACTTGCAGAGTCAAGATCAGATAATTCTAATCAAGTGGAACCAGTAGAAAAACCTGTTCTACATGACTTCTCTGAGCCTCAGTCTTCAGACAGACAAGACAGTGACGAATCGGTAGAGGCAGATGGACATGATGCTTCCCAGGCTGCAGGAGCTCTGAATATGAAACGGCCAACTTCACTTCATCTGTCATCGCAGTCAGAAGCTGCTGAAGGACATGAAGAAGGTGGGCATACAGGTAAGATATGAATGGTTCAGGATGATCTCAGGTTGTGAAAAGTTGTATAAACTTGCCAGCTATAAATATGTATAAGATTTTGTATGGACTCATGTACGGATTTACACACAGTCATGAGTTCACTTAGTCACTCAGTCAATCACTCACTCACTCACTCACTCACTCACTCACTCACTCACTCACTCACTCACTCACTCACTCACTCACTCACTCACTCACTCACTCACTCACTCACTCACTCACTAACTTCCCTACTCACTTACTTACTTACTCACTAACTCACTCACCCAATCATTAACTAGTCACTCACCAACTCACTGACTCAGTCACCCACCCAATCACCCACCCTATCACTCACTCACTCAATCACCCAGTCACTCACTAACTCACTTACACACCCAATCACACACTCACTCACTCAGTCATCCAGTCACTCACTCACTTAATCACTCACTCACCCAATCATTAACTAGTCACTCACCAACTCACTGACTCAGTCACCCACCCAATCACCCACCCTATCACTCACTCACTCAATCACCCAGTCACTCACTAACTCACTTACACACCCAATCACACACTCACTCACTCAGTCATCCAGTCACTCACTCACTTAATCACTCACTCACCCACCCATCCACACAATCACCCTTTTAGTCTGTATTGGATATGTGCTGAGCATTCATATTATTTTTAAAATGTTATATGATTTTAACATTTATAATATTTGACAAGATCATTATTATGTGAAAGATCAATGGTTGGGAGACCCAGTATTTGATGGGTCTCTGTGTCCAATTTGTGATGTGTTCAAAATTTGGTTAATTCACACAATCTCTCACTAAAACCTTTTCTTTTTCTCCTCCCTCTCTCGTTCTTCCTTCTACTCTCCTGAGGTATATTCCCTGGGTTTTGTTGTTGTAAGTGTTGGCACCTTGTTGGCATCTGTGTGCCTTTACAAATGATAGTGATTCACTGTGCTAAAGGAAGGAATGGGAATCATAGTCAATGCCAGTTAAGGTCAGGGATAAAGTCGACCTCTCCAAAGCTCAGAACCTGGGCAGTATTATAGAGACCATATGTTACCCATGCAACATGGTTCCTCTTGGCCTGCTTTGTTTACTCCAAATGAAAGGTAACTTAAGAGGTTTGGAAGAAAGCATGCTGCAGAAGCTGCAGGATCAGAGGTGCAGTGCTCTTTCGGTCTGCCTGTCTGAACTTCCGTCTTGTACCAGCTGCCAATCAAGACTCAAAGTTTATCTGCCCTGCAAAACGTTAGGTCTTCAGGCTGCATTTTGTTTTAGCGTGGGATAAGTGTTTGTAATTAAATATTCTGTATTGTTCTTATAATTATGAGAACTGCACTGGCATAGTTGTAGTTTGCTTGCCTGCCAAGACAGTGGTATGGGTTCAGATCTTTTCCAGAGGGTGGATTATATTTTCCAGCCAGTATAGTTTTAGGGTAGATCCAGTCTAATAAAAATGGGTGCCAGATAAGTTTCAGAATTGAATTAAGAGCTGACATTGTATTATAGCACTGGAGACCTTCCCATAAGTGCTCTGTCTCCATCTTCAGTAGCCTGCGCAGAGTCCCTATTCTGATGGTATATCGGTAGCAGTGATTGTATGTTCATCCTGCTTTTCCTCTAAATTTTTAGTATTGGCCAGATCTCCTGGTCACTTTCTGCTGCACATTCTCTTCAGACTGTGTTAAATGTTGAATTAAGAATTGACACCATAGCACTCGGGACACTTCTATAAGTGCTCCATCCCCATCTTCAGCAGCAAGTGAAGAGTTTCACTTCCGATGATACCAGTAACAGTCTGTATATCTGTCTCGCCTTTCTCTTGAGTGTTGAGCATCGATCACATCTTCTAATAACTCCACACAGTGCCAATCTCCTCCGACCATAATAATCTGTCTGTACCTCCACACTGTTCGCTTGCTGCCAAAGGTCCTTCACAACATCTAGCTTGTCATACATCAGTTCACCACCAACTGGTGCAGAACCGGCCAGTCTATCTGCCTGCTCACTTCCCAATATGCTGGCATGACTTGTAGAAAATATCCAAAGGATGCTAACTAGCTGGGACCTCTGAAGTGATGCTTGCCACTCTGCAAGGAGCATGCCTGTTTCCACCTTTCTCAACATGCTCTGTGAGTCAGTTACAATGACAGCATGTGTGTACAGCTGATTCTCAAACCAGTGCAAGGCAGCAGGGACTCACTATTCAGACTGTGGGGATAAAATATGTTAGATTGATGAGAAAGGCATACAACCACCCCACTTCATAAGTTATGGCCTACAATCTGAGAACACGTCACACTCCATGGCAGTCTCTGCTATCAGACTACCTTATAGACTTTCTTAGACTATCTCAGACTATTTTATAATTAATTCAGGGCATCCCTAAAGTCTGGACACAGAGGAAATAAAGAGTGAATGTGCTAAACTTGATGGCAGTGTGGATTTTTTACAAGCATCAACTTTTGCATCACATTTTCTGGAAATAATATTGAAGACATTATTTAATACTCCATTTGAATCTTCTTCTTTTTCTTTTCTCTACTTCTGGAATGCCTCTTGGCATTAGGGGAGGAAGAGATCTCTTGAACGGCCCTTCTGTTTCAGAGTCTCTGATATTTCTTCGGTGCATATTTTACGTGGTTGACCTCTGGGTCTGTTACCATTTGAATAAATTGTTAATAAATTCAATTTCTTGACTAGATGTATTTTTTCCTGTGTATCTAAATTCTGTATTCCTTGTGTCGGTATGGCTTAGGCATTGCGAAAGTGTTTTATAATTCTGAAATACCCAGTTTGATTATAGCTGCGGGCTGTTTAGCAGCAGATCGCTTTATGATGATTTTGACAATGGTATGGAGCTCCAACCATTCAGAGTATAATTAATAATGAGACAATATATTGGCTGGCACTCATAGAAAGCTGTAGAAAGATAGAAGGACACACTAGACAACATACAAATCAAAAGCTATAGTTACCATGCCAGGAATCGAACCTGTCACCTTCAGATGGCATGTGCGCCTTGCTAGGGAAACAAGCGTACTAAGAACATAGCCAAGTAGACACCCACAGGAAAAGGTGTCCACATTGGCGTGTCTATCGTACAGCTTGAAATCCACAACTATGGAATACGGACAGATATCATTTCAATCCATTGAAATGGCACCATAGATTACAGAAATTTATATCAAATAAGCATAGGTCGAATAACTAACACAGCAACAATTTACAAACACAGCATACCGTATTGCTTTGTCTAGAATACACACACATTAAAGAAAGAGATTCGATTGGTAGGTTCCATTGTGTTACACATCATTCACATAAATAAACAGAGGGGGAACCCTTGAAGCTGTATAAAATATTATATATATATATATATATATATATATATATATATATATATATATATATATATATGTCTCTTTATTAATTATATATATATATATATATATATATATATATATATATATATATATATATATATATATATATATATATATATATATATATATATATATATATATATATATTAATAATAAAGAGACAATGTAATGACCTGCACTCATAGAAAGAAGAAGAAAGATAGGAAAACCATTGAGAAAGAAATGGCAAACTACTGGATATAAAAAAGTCTGATAAAACAAAACACCAAAAACTGTTTCGGTTGGTTCTGCTATGTCAGGTAAAGGATACATAACCATCTTTAAAAAAAAAGTTTTTTATTCCTTTAATCACATTCAATTTTGTGTTGCTTATCTTTTCAGTGAGTGTTGACACTACAGAACAAACAAACCAAAGGACAGCGGAGACTAAATCTGTGATCCATGCAGCTGACCTACAGGACAGTCTAGGACTTGTGGCACCCTTCTGGATTCCTGACACTGATGCATTGACATGCATGATTTGTCAAACCAAGTTCACCATTTGGAAGAGGCGCCATCACTGTAGAGCTTGTGGGAAGGTAATTGATTATACTCTTGTCCATACCAATATTTTATCTTTTGTGAATTTGAAAAAAAAAACAACCCCCCCAAAAAAAACAACTAAAAACAATTAATCATCATCATCGTCATCTTCCTCATCAACATCCTGTTAGACCATTATGTCACATAGCACATAGGGCTCGCACTCTGTTCCTCCATTCTATTCTATCTTGTGCAAATAGTTGAATATCATGGATGGAATCCAGTCCAGCACTTTTGGCCTCTGTCATCAGCATTCATTTTAGGCTTTCTTTTGTAAGTCCTGTTGGCTCTGTGGCTAAGTCGATGCGAACGCTTCGTAATGCCGGGATGCCAAGTTCAATCCCAGCTGCGGGCCATGCGCGCTGCATTGGTTTCGACAGTGGTATCAAGAAAGCCGACCATCCAGAAAGCAATGGCAAACTACTGGACATAAATTGTTTAGAAAAACCACACAACAGCCAGGGGTTGGTTTTCAACGTACTCTAAAGGATACACAACTAATCTATGTAAGTCCTAGCTTCTTTAATCCTTTTGTTCTCCTTTTTAAAAAAATATTTTAGAGCCTGTTTAGTGGTTCCCTGCTGGTTTATTCTCAGGATGTGTCCAATATAGCACCATCTTCTGTGTAGTACAACTGTTGTTAGCAGTGGTTGTGCAGATATTTCTGTTATTTTATATTTATTTATTTACCCCTCATTTTATTTACAAACTAATGATTGCACAGTTTATTTGCTGGCACACTTTAGTCTCCAAGATCAAGTTAAACAAGATCACAAATGAAGAAGTAAGGAGGACAGAAATGTTCGTTGTGGGCAAATGTTATTGAAGGAAGAAGATGAAGATGGCTCCCCTCTTACAGCATAAGGCAATCCCAATCAGTACAAAGAAACATCTCATCTAAATCATATTCATTCTCATCCTATGCTACCAGTGCCAGACATGGTCAGTAACAGCAAAATATAAAAGAAAATTAGTAACCTTGGAAATGAGGTGTCTGAGAATGACTAGAAGCGACCAGAAGAGATAAAATCAGGAATTAGGTCATACACAGAACAAATTCTAAATTACATACAAAGACAGCAGATCAAATGATTTGCCTTCTGATGATACACCATACAAGGCATATACCAAAAGAGGAGAGGGACATAGAACAAGAAAAGAAAATAGAAAAGAAGAGGAAGAAGAGAAAAAAGCCAAAACAATAACAATAAAGTTGAGAGGAAAAAAAAGTAAGAATGTTTTAAAGTCACTTATTTATAAATGACTGTTTTAACAGGTTCTGTGTGCAGTTTGCTGCAACCAGAAAGCTGTTCTCCCTTATATGGACAACAAAGAGGCTCGCGTCTGCGTAGAATGCCACATTCAGTTAAATCTTGGTAAGTTTAGGAATATCAGGTTGACAGAAAGTGAAGAGAAACTAGCGGATTAATTAATTTCCTCCTCTTCTCCGTTTATTTTTGGCTGTTCTGAATTTGGTGATGAACTGATCTGGTGTTAGGTTTGAATATGTGCTTCATAGATGTCTGCACATAACATAGGAAATTTAATGTTGTGGTCCCACTGACAGAAAGTGCATTAGAATTAGCATATTAAGAGCCTTACACCTGGGTAGGCTAACAGAGTGAACAGATGCTCGAGGAAGTTCGATGTTTTGACTCAAATATCGCAACTGTGCTGCAAACAGGCACAGCAGAATTACTTCACTCGGACGAATGAAAATAAGAACAAAGAAGAAACTTTATTCATTGTTTTTTCAAGACAGAAGAAAATGTTTGCCTCTCCTCAATACTTCTTTGAGGTAACTGGCAGACAGGGGAAAGAGACGGACATCTTGAAACCATTGTAATTTACAACAAGGCTAAGACACACTCGGAGGATCTAGGTCTCTTAAACAGGTCACTAGAGATTTCTAGAAAAAAGGGACATTTATGGAGCATTTGCTCAAAATTAAAGTGGCGTTTTGCTGCTTCTTGCGGTCAGAGGGTAACATAGCAACTAGGTAAGACTGAGAGTAAAATAAATAGAACAGTTAAGGACCCTTTTCATGCCAGTTGGAAATCAGGCGTATCATCCTAGATTCATAATTTTATCCATCAATCGGATCTTCATGAGTGATGTGGTCAGCATCATGCTATTCCATTTACCTCCCATGATTTTATACTGGGTACTCAGTTTAGGTCGACCTGGGAGTCAAGGTCATTTAAAAGAAAATATAGACTCGATGCTGATTCAGAAACCAAAAAATCTTAGACTAATACTGTATTTACACATGTATAGGCGGTATGTATGTATAGGCCGCACACAGTTTCTGAAACGAAATGTAGTGGAAAAAATTTCTTAGAATTTCATCAAGATACCAAAATAAAACAATAATACGTGTTACGGCTGGGCAAGGCGTTTTTTTTGCACAAAATGACCCCGTGAATTGGTGGTGGACAACAGTCACCTACCAGAAGAAACTGTTAGCATTTCAAAGACATGTTGTGAAGTTACAGAAGCCACAACTAAAGCACTGGGGAACAATTGCAAATGCAGATGAAACTCCCGTATTCTTCGATATGCCAGGTGAAACAACAGTAAATGAAATTCGCACATGTGAACTTCAGGAGATGAAAACACAGTAGTGTACCATAATGCTAGTTATCACTGCTGATGGACACACAACTCCCACCTGATGTCATGTTTAAACGTAAATCCATACCTAAGGAGAAGCTACCACCTGGAATGTTGGAAAGAGTGCAAGAGAAATGGTGGATGACTGAAGAATTGTTATATTGTTCATTAATACATTTTGTGCAAATGAGTATCTCAAATATAAGCTGCACCTTATTTTACAACAATGATTTTTGATTCAAATATTGTGGCCTATACATGCATAAATACAGTAAATATAGTGATATTAATAAGGGATTACTCTCACAGAAGGCAACTTTTTTTGGGGGTAAGAAACAATGTTACCTGAGTTAGTAATGTGAAGGAGCCTCTTCCACACCTTCATGCATGTCTCACCTTTTCTTTGTTCATGGGCTGTAGGCTCCTGTGCAAAGTCCTGGTTGTTTGACCATTTGGCTTTATGCCAGAGCCTGAGTTTTGTGGATACATCAGTTTTGCTGCCTTATTTGTGTGCAGTTGGTTGTTCCTTGCCACTCGGGCAGATGCACTCTGACTTCAGAAGCAGCCCCCAATTAGTCGACTCCTAGGATATGCTTGTTGAAGAAGAAGTGGGTCTGTTCTTGTTTTCCCTACATTGGGGCCCTGAAACATACACAGGGAGTATTTGACATATATTGATAGACTTATATTTTAAAGACCAATCGGCGCTCGATGGTCAATGTGGTCAACATCATGTTGACCGCCTTTACTTCCCAGGATTTTACCGGGTACTGCCCATTTTAGGTTGGCTCGACCTGGGAGTGGGTGGATTGATGGATGGGTGGTTAGAAGCAATGTTATTTGAGTAAAGGCCTGACATATTTTTGCCTGCTTGGACATAATGCAGCTTATACATAATAGACTTGCATATTGGCATCATGAACTTCCACATATGGCATGACTAACCGCTTGCTATACTTTTTTAAAAAAAAATTAAAATTTTCTTTTTCTTTAAAGAAAAGTCGCTGTATTAATTTGTTGCTGTGTGGCTTAGAGGTTAGTGAATGCGTTTAACAATTGCATGGTCCTCAAGTACTACTGTGGTTTGATTTCCATGGCGGACAGTTATTACCACATTCGTGTTTTCGAATAGTGGAACATGGAAGAGTTTGGGACCTCATCACAGAATATTTCTGAAACAGCAGTGGGTGTACTGTAGCCAGCCTTTGTTGTGGAGTCAGCACAATTAAAAAAAAAAAAAACTATTCTCAGACTACTTCAAGGTGCATCATCATACTTATATTTTATCAGGATACCATATTTTATCTGTATATAAAATGATATGTTTTCCCACACTTTTAAAGTTTAAAATTGGAAGTCGTCTTGTATACAGAGGATTAGCTGTGGAGGAGCTACTAGACGCTCGCCACGGTTCAGAAGGTGGTGAGTTCGCTCCCTGGCAGAGCCAAACTTTTTTCAGAAATGACCTCTGATCCCAGGTCGACCCAGCCTTGAGTGGGTACCGGGTGCAGTCCCGGGAAGTAGAGGCGGCCGGAGTGATGCTGACCACATCACCCATCTTGTGCCAATTGGTATATAAAATAGGTCTAGCCCTATATGCCCTAAATGACTAAAGGCGTGGAAAAGGGTCCTTCACTTACTTGTATACAGAATGTGTTTAAAGTATTTATTTTATAATTTTGGGTGGAAAAAATATTTAAGGATCGTTTTATACATGGCATTGTTTTAAGTAAGTAAGTAAGTAAAAGTAAAGATCCCTTTACACGTCCTTAGGCGCATCGGGCATATGGGAAGAGCACCCATATTTTTACAGACCAATTGGCACTCGGTGGGTAATATGGTCAGCATTATGCCGGCCGTCTTTACTTTCCCAGGACAGCCCATCCTGGTACCCATTTGAGGCTGGGTCAACCTGCGACGTCCCATACCACGATAAAAATCCATGCAGGCATTGTTTTATACCTGGAAAAATACATTATTTTGTTCTGTAAGAGTAAGTAAGTGTAAAAGTGAGAGATCAAGTAAGGGACATTTTGATACCATTTACAGCTGGGCATATGGTGCTAAACTTTTATTTTATGTTGGCTGGGGGATATTCAGTAGATGATGTGGTCAGCATCACTGGGTGGGACAAGAGCCCTAGAATGATCCATGGTTCTAGTGCCGTTGTTTATCAGCAGGGTGTATGCTTATGATGTTATTGTCCCATCTTAGGCATCTGCTGATACTTTATTTCCAAACGTCAGTTGATAAACGTTTATGGTATTACACATTCTTTAACTAAATCCTGTCACCCGGGCAACCTAGAAAAAGTTAGGCCAAGCGTCTACGCTTTCCATTTTTTGGATATTCGAGGGAGGAGAGCGAGTCCTTTCCTTAGAGATACTATCTATAGAGCGTAAGGGGACTAATAAATAAAAATAGATACAGCATAAAAATCATCTGGCTTAGGTCTGTTTGGGTCTGTAAACTAATTATAGCAAGACACTTACTTGACTCTGTGACCTGGTCGCCAGGTAATCACTGTAGTTAATGGAAAAATATGACATAGAAATTTATGTTGAAAAAAACAAACAGCAATTTCTGTTAAAAAAAAAAAACATTTTTTCTTAAAATGAAACCTGCCTAAATGCTATTTTTTAGTAAATTTACTCATCCACTCCCACGCTGAATGTTTGCACAGACGCAGATGCAATGAATTCTGTTAGGCATACGTCTCGTAATCATGTTAAACATGTTTGTATAGCGAGTTGGAAAAGCGGCTCATTAAAGTTAATGGTGCCACCTGAAAGTGTCAGTCTTGGGGTAAGAAAGTTAAAATACAGGCACTGTCCAGCTGTGAGTTGTGGCAATACAGTGATTAGGCATGTGCCTGCCAGCCTGAAAATCTTGGGTTCAAATCCACATCAGATCTGATTTAAGAACAAAAAAATATTCATCTTGGTTCCCAGTTTGTTCCCAGGTCAGCCCAACCTAAAATGGCTACCTAGAAATATCCTAGAAACATGGCTGCCGGAATGATATTAATCATATCATTAGGGTACCAGGTGAAGTCCTGGAAAGTAAAGGTGGCCGACATGATGTTGACCATATCTCCCACCTCATGTCGATAGGTCTATAAAATGTAGGAATGTAGGTCTATAGATCTAATCTATATATATATGCCAAAACACAATCAAGGTATGGAAGCAGGTCCTTTTCTTTTTTTTGAAAAACACAAGGCCATAGGAATGAAGGAAGCAAAAAAAAAAAAAAAAAAAAGTGAAGCGAGCTAGAGAATGAAGTTAAAAAGATGTGGAGAACATTGGAAGAACTGCATGCGATAGTGAAGAAAAGAATGAAGAACGACTTGGTGTGAGTTGGTTGAGGGCCTGTGCTTCATTGGGGGTCAGAAAGGCAGAAGAAGAAAGAAGCATTATATGCCAAAACACCTGAAGGCGTGGAAACAGTTCCTGTTTAAAAATTTTGTTTACCATATACCTCCCGTTGAGATGGTTCCTTTACTTTACTTTTGTAACTATCCAACAACACTGAGATTTGAATTATCACCAGTCTTCGCCCTGCTTCCCTCCTCAGTGCCAGGCTCAGGCACTAGCCCATGCTACCCCAACCCTAACAACCCCTTTGAGTACTGCTCCAAAGTGCCACCCAACCAGCAGGTCAGCAGCCATGCCAACCCTCCAGTTGTCATGGTGCCAGCAGGCGTGCTCAGAAGCTCAGGTTAGTGGCACCCCCGGCATTATGCTTTTTTTTTTGGCTGAGTTAGTAATGAGAATTATTGTGTCGTTCCTGTGTTAATTAGAAACAGGGAGATTAGAATTATTTTTGTGGTAATAATTACGGGAAGATTAGTATTATTTATGATAACGTTCTGTGATAACAATTAGTAACAGAAAGATTGTTATTTTTTTCTTTTTTAATAAGTATGCTACTAAAAAAACAACAGCTTTTGAAAAGGACATAATTTTACCATAATTTTGACATTAAGAGTCATTGTAATTCAGTGAGTGAAATGATTTAGATTGCACACAAGAATACCTTAGGTTTCACCAGTAAGTCAACACTTATTTTGCACCTGTGTCTTCAGTAGTTTTTAGGCGTACAGGCTTTCCCGTCAACAAATAAAAACATGCCATGGGGTAATTAAACATTTTTTAAAGACAGTTAAAGACAGTAAAAAATAAAAAGATCATGTCTGTGTTAATATTTAGCAACAAGACTGTTCTTATGATTCCTATATTATTAGTTAGTAAAGAAAATATTCTTATGATTGCTCTATTAATAACTAGTTACCAGGGATATTGTCATTATTTATGTGTTAATAATTAGTAGTCAAGTTTATTGTAATCATTTCCATGTTAGTAATTATTATCTAGAATCTTATCATTGCTAACCTGTGAGAATTGATAATAATAGGGGAGCAGTGGCAGCTCTTGACTGAAGGGTTAGAATGCTAGGCTCTCTTACAGGAGACCCAGGTTCAGATCCAAGGCAAGTGTGGGAATTTCTGTTCTGTCGGGGGCATAAATAAAATTCCTCCTTGCACATTCCATGGTGACGGCACTAGCTGTGCGAAGCTAAATCCTCAAGCTTGAAAAACCTGTCTTCTACACAGCAAAAAGTGGTAAATGCTGGGAGTATTGGCAGATTTTGTGTGTTTGTTTTGTGACAGTGGTAGCTATAGACTAGACATGTGTCTGTCTTCCTGGTACTATTTGTGCCTGGATCGATTGGAAAACATTGTCAGTTGTTTTAAAAAAAAAAGTCTGCCTATATGCAGTTTTGAAGATCGAAGATCTTGGGACTGACAGACAATTCTCTAGCCATTGCACCACCTCAGCTCCCAGTCATTATGGTCATATAAAATAATTTGAAATAAACAAAGCTGCAGATTTCCTTGCTGTAATTATCTCTTTTGCATGTACACTGAAATTATTTGGAAGTTGGGGAAATGTGGTTTTGTGACGGATTCATGAGAACACCCTGGGCAGTAAAAAGAGTAATAAAGATCTCTTGAAGGAAACTGACCCACCAATAGGACTGATTGCCCATTTGTTCACATCAAAAGGGGACAATCGACATATGTTGTTCGGTTCACGAGATGGCGATAACTGCAGTATGTTGTGATGGTAGGAAAGTTGGGAGGGAAAGACGCAGAGAAAGAAGATGCTGGACAGTTTGACATCATGGTATGGAAGATCATCTATGTCAGAATTGATTGAAAGTACATGAGACAGAGGGTTGTTGATAGACATGACTACCAACACCACATGGCATGGACTTTTATAAGAAGAATATCTATGCCTGTCTTTGTACGTTTTAAGAGACAAATAGACCCACTGCTTCTTATCAAGCATGCCATAAAAGGCAGCTAATGAAGGATTTGTAGAAATTTGATGTATTGGGCCAAAAGTGCAGATATCTCAGCCTGTCTGTGAACCACACCACAGCAGGTCAGCCACCTTTTTTAAGCATGAACCAGAAGAAGTAAATATGTACACCTGCTGTATACACATACCTTTTGCCTAGAATAGAATTGAATCATTGGTCTTAGTTTTGTTTTTAATATACTTTAACAGTCTATGTTATTTCCCTCTGCTAATTTGCATTGACATTGATGTACGCTCCTTTTGCAATCAAAATTAACTTCAATGCTTTGTATTTTCCCCATCCCTGCTTGGCTTTGCATGGATTAACAGTTAATTGATTATCTTAGCAGTCGACAGACACTTATTTATTGTAATGAAATGAGTATTCTGCAAATTGATCAAGTAATTTTCATCAAACAGGTGGCCAGAAAAGATTTGGTGAGCCCAAACAGGTTATGTTCTCCGATGGAGTTCGGCCTGGGGGTGATCTCGCAAAACTCGATGAACCCCAACAGGCAGGTCGATCTTCAGAAACTTCTAGAGCTGCAAAGCCCTCACAACAGCAGCAAGGTGAGCCATCTGTGTGTACAGTCTCAACTCTTTCAGCTGTAAGTGCTACAAGTTGAGTTGAGTTAAGTCAAAAATTGACATCACAGCACTCGGGGCATTCCCATGCATGCTCCGTCCTCATCTTCAGCAGCCAGTGCAGTGTTCCAATACTGATGGTACCGGTCACAGTCTGGTTATATGTCTGTCTTGCCTTTCCTCTGAGTGTAGTGAGCCGGCCAGACCCTCTGGTTACACCCAGGTGCCTTATTTTCTTGTTTACAAAGGGCCTTGACCACTTCTGCCTTGTCATGTATCAAATTCACCACCCAGTGGTGCAGATCCAGCCAATTGAGTGCTACAAACATTGGTAAAGAACCCATGGGGAATTCCATGGTAAATATCCTGAAAACGACAGACCAGTTAGACAGGTCACTAATAAGTTTAAAAAAAAAAATAATCTGCATTGAAAATTTGTTTGTCAAAATATATAGTCTTTTAAAAGATAGTAAGTAAACACAAACAGAGTGAAGCATTACATGGAATACACTCTTCAGGCAACTAAAAAAAAACACAATATCTATCATGTGACTCTTGCAGTGACTCTGATATCCATCACTGAGACAAGGGAAAATTTGACATCAACGTGGCTTTAAAAAGCCATTGGGGTCATGAGGAAACCCCCGCTAATTATTTTTTTAGTTGCTATATTCATATCCTGGCCTGTTTAACACTGAGCAGGCACAGACAGAACTAATGAAATTTCAATACAGGTTTCGAGAACAGGTCACTTCAGACAGATTGAGATATCAGCACTTACAGGACTGTCTCACAACCCGACGTGACTGGATGTAGTCTTTTCAGGGCGACGGGGTTAAAGGCTGTTTTCAGTTGGTTTGTTTCTATAATTGATGACTTGATGGGTAAGAGAGCCAGATGAAGACGATAAAATGACATCTGGATGGCTTAGCCTCATGACATAATTGAGACAAGAACACAGAGCTGATCTGAGAGTCCTGTCATCATATTAGATAGTGAACTGTAACGTGATGATGATATATGTATTACTGATGAATACTGAATTTACTGTTGGACAATCAGGATATGCTAATGAAGTTTTGAAGCAGCGGATGCCAGGTCATTACACAGGATATAGATGATATATTTGTTAAAATTGCAACTCTTTCAGTCCCTGAATTATGTCAGCTGTTCAAGGAAAGCAGATACAACAGGGAACACATAGAGGTGCTGCTTCCACAGGGGCCCAGTACACATCCCTTTATGAAACAGCTAAATTGTCAGATTTTTTTTGTCCCTAAATGTCAGGTGTAAGAAACATAGATAAGACTTTGATTGGTATACAATGATAATATCTAGTTACATTTGACACGTTGGTTGGGACAGAAAGATTTCTAATCTTGAATGTTCTCAGCCGTGTCACAAGCTCAGAAAACGTGTCTAATCTTCTCATCATCATCAGTCATCAGTTCTATTTATGCCTAGTGATACATGAGGCTTCAGAGAGGACTTTCCATTATTTCCTGTCCTGTGCAACCTTCAGTGCAGTTTTCCATGTCAAAGATGCCGCACTCAGTTCACTTTCCACAGTTCGTCTCCATGTTGTTTTTTGGGCGCCCCTTTTTTCTCTTTCCCTCTGGTGTCCATGTGAGAGCTGTTTTGGCAGGTGTATCAGGATTCGTTCTCAAAACGTCATTAAGCCATTTCCATCTTCTCTTGGTTATCATACTGTCTAGAGTTTCTTGGTTTGTGATTTGAAGTAGTTTAGTGTTTGAGATTGTATCTGGCCAGAAAATTTTGATAATTCTACGTAGACATGTGTGGTGAATGGTGGACAGCTTGTGTGCATCCTGTTTGGTCATTCTCCAGCATTCCGCTCCATAAAGAAGAGCTGGCAAAATGATGCTCTTGTAGAGTTTTGTTCCTCTGCAGTAATTGTTGGATTTCCAGGTTTGCCTGTATGTTTGCCTGACTGTATGTCTTCCTCTGTCCTTCCCAGTAGGGACACCACACTGCCAAGATATGTAAACTGTTCTACATTTTCAAGTGATTTGTTACTTATGGTCACTGGTTGTTGGTTTGGACTATTTGTCATGATCTTAGTTTTCCTTGTCTTTATTCTTAGTCCCACCATTTCTGCTGTGCTGTGTAGTCTGTTACCTTTCTCGTGTATTTGTTCATGTTTATCTTCTCAATCTCATCACAGTCTCAGAAAACATGTATGTTATTGAATGTTCTCAGCATCATCGCAAGCTCAGAATGCAGGTATAGTCTTAAATGTTCAAGTTAATAAAACATGTCTAATCTTGAATGTTCTCAGCCTCATCACAAACTCAGAAAACATGTATGTTCTTGAATTTTCAAGCTCAGAAAACATGTCTAATCTTGAATGTTCTCAGCCTCATCGCAAGCTCAGAAACTGAAGTCAGATGGTCTGTCTCGTAACCAGAGTCTGATACCAGGAGAAGGTTTACCACCGTTGCTTGTACAGAAAGATACTGGTATGGTTTTTACCCCATGTTTCATTTAAACGTGTGTAGTTTGTTTTTTGCCTGTGGCTTGGGCGTTGCTAACGCGCTTCATAATGCCGGGGTGCCGCGGGCCTTGCACACTGAGTTGCTTTCAACAGGTTTATTGAGAAGCTGACCGCCCAGAAAGTAACGACAATCTACTGGACGTAAACTTGCCTAGAAAAATCACAACAGCCAAAAAATGCTAGGGTTGGTTCTGCAACTTCCTGTAAAGGATTCGCAACTAGCTTTTAGTTTTTTTTTTTTAAATGTTTTAAAATTATATTCAAAGTCTCAGTTTGGGTTCTAGGGCTCCATTTTGGGGAATAGACCCACTGCCCCGTAACAAGCATGTCATAGGAGGCAATTATACAACACCCCCCCCCCCCTCCCAAAAAAATTTAATTGCTTGAACCCTACAGTATTCTTGTGTACAATTTGAAAAATTTCACTGATTGAATTAAAAGCTTTTGAATACCAAATTATGACAGGATTATGTTCCTTTCAGTAGCTATGTGTTTCTTTTATTTTGTTGTTTGAATAGTATAATTAGGGATGTTTCCTTTAAAGTTGGAGTGCATCTGCCTGAGGTGAGAAACCAACAATCTGGATACGAAAAACAGGTTTGCACACAGGACTCAAATTCTGGAACGAGACTAAAGTCCAGAAAGGGATGAACAACCAGAACTTTCTGCCGAAGTTTAAGCTGATGACCAAAAAGACACACAAAAAAATGTCAGAATTTGGCAGTGAACACATGTTATGTTGTTTGGGTCAGAATAGATTATATGCTGTTCACTTTTGTACAAGTTGTATAAAATATCTTAATTGTTTTTGTATTTCTTTGTTGTAACAGAGTTTGTAGAAACAGATACACCTGTGAATGAGACTGACACAGTTGATTTCAAATGTGAGTATCTTGTCAGGTGATTATAAAATTGCCAAAGTAAACTCTATTTGGCACCAAAGAAGTTGCAAAGTTCAGATGAACTGTCACAGAGTTGATGATACAGTAGATGTACTGAGTCCCAGAGTTGATGATACAGTAGATGTACTGAGTCCCAGAGTTGATACAATAGATGCATTGTCACAGAGTTGATGATACAGTAGATATATTGAGTCGGAGAGTTTATGATACAGTAAATGCAGTGAGTAACAAGGTTGATAATAGATGTAATGAGTAGCGGGATTGAAACAGTAGATATACTGATTCACAGATTTGATGATACAATAGATGTAATGGCTAAAAGGGTTGATAATACAGTATATCTGCTGAGTCAAATAGTTGGTAATGCACTAGATCTGCTAAATCACAGGCTTGATGAAACACAGTATGATAACTCATTTGATAAAATGCCATGAACCCAGATCAGCTTGCGACTTAACCATATTCGAATTTCTCCTTTGTGGTCAGTTAAAAGAGATTAATTGTTACTCACACACGCACACATGATGCATTTATGCAGGCATCCGTGCGCAAACTAATATATGTATATTCTTATCTTCACCTTCACAGCTGAGGAAGGACCTTTGGTGATGTTTACTTTGAACCGAAACCTTTCAGTCGGTGTCAAGATTATAAATCGTAAGTTGTGAAGAAAACCTTTCTTAATTTATCCCCATGGCTTTATTAGTCTGACAAACCGCAGAACATATCCTACAGGACTGTCGATTGTTCAGTGGTTTAGAATGAAAAACTGGCTTAAGAAGGTAATACTGGCTTAAAGAGGAAATACTGGCTTAAGAAGGAAATACTGGCTTAAAAAGAAAATACTGGCTTAAGAAGGAAATACTTACTTAAGAAGGACATACTGGCTTCAAAAGAAAATACTGGCCTAAGAAATGAAATACTGGCCTACTGAATCAGCACCATATCCAAAGATGTATGGAACTAAAGAATAACTCCAAAAGGGTCAGTTTTGTCACAGAAACTCATTTGCCTGTGTAACTCATGGAAGTGATCACAAGAAGAAAAAGAAGAAGAAGAGTCTGGATTTGAACATAAAACCTTTGAACCAGTGGGCAAGCAATTTGTATACAGATTTTATAAAAAATTTTTGCTGAAATGTGTACTTTAAGTATAAAGTAGTGTGTTACTGAGGTACAGAGGTACCCTCATATACATCCACTTTCTGGTTAGTCCAAAACTTGGTATAATTGAAGATTCCTAAAGTTTTTATGGAGCGAGACTCCTTCTCCTTCCAAATAATCATATTTCACAATCACAACTCAGACATCTCCTCCTGCTCCCTTCTGAGCACAATCCTTGTAGGCAGTCAACTATTCTCAGCAAGGTAAAAGTAAGTTAAATTGTGATTTATTACTTAATTGCTTTTGTGTTTATGTATTTTAATATTAAACAGTGTTTACATACTCAACATTTTGAAACTGTAAATGATGGCGGTCTGACATGGAGGAAAGAAGCATTAAGCCCAGAGATTGTGCAAATACCAGAACTTTAGCCACAAAAGGGGGGCAATTAAACAAGACCACAAATATAACTGGAAACTGTTGGCAGCTTCAGCTAGCTAGCAGGTTGAACGTGGCCGAGTTTTTTTTTTCTTTAAAGGAATTAGGGAAAATTAGGAATTAGTGTTTACATTATTTTATGCAACCCTATTAATGTCAATAACAGTATGATTTTTTTCATGGGAACATTTTAATCATTCTCCCATTATTTCTTATGGGAAAATTCGTTTTTTATATGTCCAAGTATCTCGAATTGATTAGGGATGAATACCGAGGACAACTGTACATAAAGTAGTAGCTAAATGAGGCATCTTTCCTCTCACAGTGGACTGCTGTTTGAACAGAACCTGTTGGTGTTTCGTAACGCTGGGCATGGACACAGTTGGTGAAAATGAGATAGTTGTACTACTAGAACTGACAGAGGAGGAACTTGCAAGTCCATCGCCCAGGCCACCAAGAGACATGTTCCTGCATCTTCAGGCTTTGTATGAGGAAGCTTTGAAAGGTGCAGTAGAATCAGTGAAAACTTTTGTGTTGTTTTATTTGTAGTGTGGTAAAAAATGTGACAGAAACATTAATAGAAGTAATGTTAAGGTAGATAGAAATAATAATAGAGTTATAAGTTATTCTTCTTTTTCTTTCATTTGCTTGAAATAAATTATCTATATTTGCAGTTCTATCTCTAGTATGAACTTCGTTATCTTTTGTAATTAACTTAGCGGCCTGTCAAATTTGGCTTTTACCTGTATCTCTCTTGGCAAGAAGCTTTGCCTTGAAATGTTGTGTCTGGGACACTTGGATGATGTCTCAGGTGCCAGTCTACTTGCTTATTCACCAGTCTTAAATTTTGTGACTGCAACGTCAAATGTACCCTGTTCCAAAACGTAGAATAATGACTTGCTCTGGTCTGTCCATAATATGGCAATCGTCTTGTGCCAGTTTTAATGGCTTTCTCATAGATTTGATTTTTCTCTTCTTCTGTTGATAACAGACTGGTATGTCAGGTTGTTCTTCAGTTGCACTTTCTGTTTATCAGCTCTTTCATTTCCAGGAACTCCACAGGGGAACAGTAAGTATCCATTGCATAGCTACCTTACACTGGTTGCCTAGTTCAGAGAGTTGTGTCCTGTTATAAGTTATAGTATTGATAGATTGACAGAAGTAATGATAAAGTTATTGGTCTACTTATGGATAGAAGTAAGGATATAATTATTGGTCTACATATTGATAGTTGCAATGATAGAGTTGTAAATTCAAGTATTGATAGATTGATAGAAGTCATTATAATATTATTTGTCCAATTATTGGTAGTAGAAATGATTGTCCCCGTGTGAGTTCCAGGGCTCCATTATGGGAAAAAACAAGAACAGACCCACTGGCTCCCCAACAAGCATGTCGCAGGAGTCGACTAACTGGGGATTTACTTCGAAGTCGGAGTGCATCTATCCGAGCGGCAAGGAGCAAACAGCTGCACACAAATAAAACAGTAAAACAGATGTACACGCAAAACTCCGATCCTGGCACAAAGCCAAAGTTAAAATGGACAAACAACTAATGAACGCAAATCAAATTGTTTGGTTCTGCACTGTTTACTGCGTTAATAATTGTAAATCATTTTTCCTTTTTTGTTTGTTTTTGTTAATCATTTTTTTTGCAAGTTTTTATAAAATCTTATGTTTACCTATACCCACTCAAATTTTTACTTGTGTTTCTTTCTTTTTCTTTTTATAAAAGGAAATTTTTTTTATGAAAAAAAAATACAATGACTTTCTCACTGATTTTTCCAAATTAATTGCTTGAAAATGTTTTTTCACACATCCAGTATAGGATTGCTGTCCCCTTTGTCTAACAGAATGCTGAGGATGCCACAATGATTTCATAGTTAACGACCTCTGACTATGCATATAATCCATTGTAGGCCATAAATTGGGACGTCAGCTCAAGATCTCTTAAGTTTCTCCTAAGCTTAGTTAGGTCTGCTTTGGGTGACCACATGTTGCTTTTCAGTTCCTCAAGGAACATGTTCTGGGGTTTTTATAGTGTGTTAGGACTGGCAGAGAGCTGTTTGGCTCATACCTAATTTAAATAAGTGTTTGTTAAATTTTAAGTGTCCAGCGTGTTAGGGATAAATGGTGACTTGGTATGTTGCGTTCAGGTGAATGAGAAAATCTTTAGCATGGTTATAATTAATGTTTGTTTGCCAATCTCTTTATGATTTTGTCTTTGTGAGGGTGTTGACTTCTGAAAAAGTAGTGGCCGGTAGATTTGTGTGATGTCATGTGAAATACACTTAATCTGTATGCTTAAAAAATGCCTTATTGTCATATGAAAGACACTCAATCTGTATGCTTAAAATTGCCTTAATGTCATATGAAAGACACTTAATCTGTATTCTTAAAATTGCCTTAATGTCATATGAAAGACACTTAATCTGTATGTTTAAAATTGCCTTAATGTCATATGAAAGACACTTAATCTGTATGCTTAAAATTGCCCTAATGTCATATGAAAGACTCTTATGTTTTGTTTTTTAGGTGACGTCATTAAAGACTTGGGCCACTTCATTTTCCATCACAGTAGCACAGGGAATACAGAATCCAGTGGTTTCTTCTTCCTGAGGCCAACTTTCCAGTGTTTAAACAAGATACCTTTACCAGAGTCCCCTTACATGTTTGGCATTCTGATTCAGAAGTATGAGCTTCCCTGGGCTAGAGTGTTCCCTCTGAGGTTGATGCTGCGCTTGGGAGCAGAGTGCAAGTGTTAGTATTGTTTTGTTCTTAAAGTTAACTGCTTTAAAAAAATTTTTTTTTAATACAGGACGTTGCAAAACCAACCCCAGCGTTTTTTTCGGTTGTTTGGTTTTACGAAACATTTTATGTTGAGTAGTTTGTCATTGCTTTCTGAATAGTCGGGGCTCAATACTGTTGTTAAAATCAGTGCAAAGTGGTCTGCTGCTGAACTGCCTGCAGCTGGAAAGGAACTATTTACTTTTTCCCCACGTGGGTTCCGGGGCCCTATTGTAGGGAAAACAAGAATAGACCCACTGCCTCCGCAATAAGCATGTCGTAGGAGTCAGCTGACTGGGGGCGTCCTTCGAAGTCTGAGTATATCTGCCTAAGAGGCAAGGAACCAAGAGGCTGCATAGAAATAAGCCAGATCAGGGAAGCGGATGTGCAGGCAACACTCAGGTTCTGGAACAAAAGTACGAAGGTGGATGAACATCTAGAACTTTCTGCCGGAGTCTACAGCCAGTGAATGTGAAGAAGAAGAGGAAGAAGATATTTGTTCTGCTCAAATCTATTTAAGATGCAAAAAGTGTGCACAGACAGATTAACGATCTGACTGGAAGAAAGAATTAGTAACCATGGAGATGAGGTGTCTGAGAAAGGCTGTAGGAGTGACCGGATGGGATCAAAATCAGGAATTAGGTCATACCACATAAAGCTGGCACAGAATTGATTGTAAATTACATACACAATTAGCAAATCAAATTGTTTGCTCACTTGGTGCCTTCTGATGCTATACTAAAAGAGGAGAGGGACATAGAGCAAGAAGTTGACCAAGAACAACATAGATAACATCAGAGAAACTCTACAGCACCACGGTATCTCTTTGGTCAAAGCAGCCAGAAGAGCATGAAGCAGGACCTTATATCTGCCTCGACACCTGAAGCGGTAAAAGAGGATGTAAAGAAGAAGTGGGTCTGTTCTTGGTTTTTCCACAATGGAGCCCGAGGACCCACACAGGGATAGCAGAGTAAATATAACTTCTATGACTCAGTCATTACCGGTCATATTTGCTCAGGTCATTCCATCAGGTGGGTATACTCACGTCGAAGGGTCTTTAGAAAGGATGTCACTGTTTTTAGTGCCGAACAGTTGTAATAGATAATGCAAGTTTTGCCTGGTCAGACAGTTTTTAATTAAGTTGTTTGCTGTTCTGTGCATGGGGTTGTTGTTCATGCGTTTAAATTATTCTTTCATCGGTCATATAAATCAGATATTCATTTATTATTTCTTATCTTTAACAGATTACCCTTGTCCACTGATAAGCATGAGAGATCGGAAGCCAGTTTTCTTTGAGATTGGGCATACCATCATCAACTTATTGGCAGATTTCCGCAGTTACCAGTACATGTTGCCACAGATCAAAGGAGTCACCATCCACATGGAGAACAAGAAAACGGTCATCAGTCTTCCCAGAAATCAGTACAATGATGTAAGACAGTGTGTTATTTGAGTTCATATTTCCCATTTGCGTTCTAGGACCCCGTTGTGGGAGTTAAAAGTTAGTTGTGTATCCTTTACAGGATGTTGCTGAACCAATCCCAGCATGTTTTGGCTGGTGTGGTTTTTTCAAGCCAAATTTTATGTTCATTAGTTTGGCATTGCTTTCTGGCAACAACAACAATTGAATAAACCTACAGCATTCCTAAGAAGCATGTTGTATAAGTAGACTTATTAGGGGTGTTTCCTTTAAAGTTGGAGCATATCTACCAGAAAGACGAGGAACTAACAATCTGCATACAAATAAGCCAGATCTGTAAAATGGATGTGCACGCAAAACTAATGTTCTGGAACAGGATTAAAGTCCAGATGTGCACGAACAACCAGAACTTTCCACCTCCTCCTGAGTTTACAAATGGTAAACGATGAAGTTCATATCTTATATTTAATAGACCAGATGGCACATCTGGAACAGGATTAAAGTCCAGATGTGCACGAACAACCAGAACTTTCCACCTCCTCCTGAGTTTACAAATGGTAAACGATGAAGTTCATATCTTATATTTAATAGACCAGATGGCACATGGTGGAGGAATGGGGTCATCACCATGCCGGCCATCTTTAATTCCAGGACATTACCTGGCACTCCGCTAGCCTGCGTGATACCTCATGGGCAGGGGTAGAGTACCTCATGGGCAGGGGTAGAGTACCTCATGGGCAGGGGTAGAGTACCTCATGGGCAGGGGTAGAGTACCTCATGGGCAGGGGTAGAGTACCTCATGGGCAGGGGTAGAGTACCTCATGGGCAGGGGTAGAGTACCTCATGGGCAGGGGTAGAGTACCTCATAGGCAGGGGTAGAGTACCTCATAGGCAGGGGTAGAGTACCTCATAGGCAGGGGTAGAGTACCTCATAGGCAGGGGTAGAGTACCTCATGGGCAGGGGTAGAGTACCGGCTTAGCTCCTCAATCAGGGTTACTTGAAGTCATGGGAGGCAGATGATGGATAAACGGGGTGAGAAGTTTTCAGTATTGGTCATGACTTTAGTAGAGGATGCCTCTATAGGTACAACGGCTAGGACAGCCAGCCCAGTTTGGGCACTGCTCTCACAGAAAGAAATGGCAACCTACTGTGAGTATTTTTTCAAAGCAAAGTCATGGGAACTGATTGCCCACATCAGAAAGAGACAGTCTACATTCTTTGGAAAACTAATACATCATGACAGTAGGAAAGTTGGAGGGGAGGAGGGACTGAGGGAGACAGAGCACAGATGCTGGATA